GGATCCCCTGACACACATTCCTCAGAAACCTAAAAACAGAAATTCCATTTGACTAATTAGGTCTTGTCTGAGTATCTTCCTGAAGTTTTAAAGTCATCGTATTACAATGATGCATGCGCTCCCAAGTTTACAGCGGCACAATTCACTGTAGCTAAGTTGTGGAAGGAGCCCCTATGGGCACCAAGAGATGAAGGGGAAAGGAAGATGTGATATTTATGCACAAGGGAGTACTACTGGGCCGTAAAGAATGACACATTTGAGTCATTTGTAGGAAAGTGGCTGGATCCTAAGACCATAATGCTATGCGAAATACATGAGTATACAAATCAAACAACAAAGGTTAAATATTTCCTAATATCTCTTATATGAGAAATCCCCCAAAGAAGTAATTTAAAGGGTGAATTCAAAGAAAGATAGTAAGACTTTTGGTTTTGCCTCAGTTTAATTCTTGTTCTCTTGATCTCTTCATAAAGCACCATTATTTCACTGTTTCCTGAAACTCATCTTACGTCTATCCTAGGAAGAAAAGGTCCAAAGAGGAAGGGGAAGTGCGAAGGGTTGGGGAAAGGAAAGAAGGGAATGGAATTAATATTGTCTACCTAAATTTTCCAATAATTTTTTAAAAGACGAACTGGTTAAAATGAATAAATGAATAAAGGAATGAGCTGGACTGGGCCCAGGACAAGTGGCCTGAGGGCTGTGGTCAGGGCCCGGCCACTAGGGTCAGGTCGTTGCTAAGACTCTTGTCCAGACTATGGGAGCAACTGTGATTGGCCCAGTAGCGGGCTGGGTGTGGGGCTCCCTGCTCCAGGCCGCCATGTTGCTGGAAGTGAGGCCTCTTTGTTGACAGTGGCGATGGGATCATCAGGGATCCACAGCCAGAGTTCATCAGAGGCAGCAGAGGGCACAGGGGTCACACCTTTGTATAGCAAGGGCTTGGGGTGCCCAGCAGGGGAAATCTGGAAACCAGACTGAGCTTCCTCCGGTCAGTGTGTCAGGAGCACCCACTCCCAACCTGCTAACCCCTGACCCCCGGCTCCCACTCCCCTTGCACTCACCCCAAATGGCCTCAGAGCCCCCGGGCCTGGCCCAGGCCTGGCCAGTGAGCTGGTGCCTGAGATAGGGGCCTGGGCCCTTTCATTTTGACTCTCTAGGTGTGCTGTGTTTGCATATTTATTTGATTCTACGAATTTTTAAAATTTCTTATTTCATCAGTGAGTCACTGAGCATTCAAAAGTGAATTTTTTCATCTGCACATGTGTTTTCTGGCTTTTGACTTCTAATTTCATTCTGTTGTAATCTCATAAGATGCAAGCAATTCTTCAAATTTATGGTTCAAAGTATGATCTGTTATGAAGAGTACTTCCTGAGATGCTAAGAATGCGGACTTTGATGTTGGCTGCAATGTTTTGTAGGAACCGATGAAGTCCTTTTTAGCAGTGGGTTAGTTTAACTCAGATTCCTTTGTTGAGTTTTTGTCTGCCCTCCTGTTGGTAGAGCAGCGTATAGACATCATCCACAGTTTAGCACCTGTGTATTCTTTGAGAAGGGTTTACGAAAATGCGCGCATTAATGTTCAGTTCACAGGTATCTACAATCATTGCTCCCTTTATCAATTTATTACTTTTCTGGAGACAGGGTCTTGCAAAGTTGCTAAGTTGCCCACATTGGGCCCAAACTGGTGACCCCCCCCCTTTAAGGTTTTACAGTGCTGGGGTTCCAGGCTGTGCCACCATGTCGGGCCACAGTTTACTCTTCAGTGAGTAGTTAGAATTACTAACTCCAATGCTCTTTAAACATGCGCTGAGATAAGACGTTTACCAAGATAGGGATTTAGAAATCAGGCTCCGGATAGTAAACGCATTCTATAGTTAAATAAACACAAAGAGGAAACTCCAAATGATTCTCTGTATTTCTGCATGGTGCACCATCAAGGAGAGGAATTGCTGTTCAGGGAAAGACTCTTGCTCTGCACAAATGGGATGGAAATTGCTCGAGCTCAGGCTCCAGCATGGCTGTATAATAGATAATGGATAATAGATATTACAAATAGGAAGAAAAGGGACAAAGAGGAAGGGGACATGGGAGGAGTAGGGGAAAGGAAAGAAGGGAATGGAATTAATAGGAGAAAATAAACAATAATGGAAGCAAAGTCTTTGTAGATAAGGAGGGAGGGAGGGGTTGAAGGGAGGGGCGGGGAATGGGGAAAAAATAAGAACCAAGATAAATTATGTAAAGGTGCAGATTTCCAATGCTGAATGTCATTATACCATATACCATAAATGCACCGATAAGATTAATTTTAAAAATAAATATTGCACTGTCTTTCTGGTAGAGGAACCAAAAGTTGAAACAAAGATAAAATTGTGTAAGACATTGTGAAATAGGGAAAACATTGTTCCAACGGAAAGTTAGTTTGTTCCGAGTTGAAAAGTTGGTCTCTATGGTTTTCATTTCAGTTCTCAGCTCCTGCTGAGACGATGTCCCTTGTTCACCCTTCTTCGTACGCCCTGGGGTCTCCCCACATGTCCGATCCCAACCCCCTGGACTGCAGTGTAAAACACTGTGCAAAAATAGACAATGAGATTTGTGCAAACACTCCTCACAGGAGTGCAGGACCCCGGGGGACCCACACTTTCTCTCCATCCCCAAAGGCAGGGCCCCCATAGCGCCTGCCTCAGTGAGGGACACCACGTGTCCAGGGGAGAAGGAAAGCGGGCAATGCCGCTGCGGCCTCATCCGCTCTTTGGAGATGCTCATCACAAACAAGGAACTTTTAATTGTGTCTGGGAATTGGGACTGAAGGGAAAGTTTTTAGATACACAACTCTTGCTCACACCGCGGAGTGCCTGATTGTTTCTGTCCTATGGGGAGGTGAGGTCACAGCACAGCCCACAGTTATCTCTGGGTCCCGGCCTCTCCCTTCCTCAGGCACCGACGCCCACCCGGCTGTCACCCCTTCATCATTCGGTGGCTGAAAGGGCACAGAGGAGAGTTTTCCTGTTCAGTCTGCACGGGGAGTCTGCGCCGGCTTCCAGACTGGAACCCTTGTCCTGAACTTGTGCTTTGGAGCAGAGACCGACGTGCACCGAGCCCCGGGGACAGGAGCGACCTGGAGGTGAGGGCAGAGCCTGTGCGTGGAGCCTGCGGACCACAGCCCCGCGCCGAGCCCGCTGACTGCTGGCCTTGTCCCCGCGAGTGAGCCCTGCTGACCCTGACGGCTGCAGCTGAGTGCAGACAGGGACTGAGTGCGAGTCCCATGATGTGTAGGGCGACAACGTGGTCATCAGTCTGTCTCTGTAGATGCCACAGAGAAGTCACAGATAAGGCTTTGTCTTATTGAAAATGTATTGGTATGAGCGCTTGCTGTTGAATTGCGGGATTGGCACATATACATGCGGTGTCCTGGTTTGCTTCGGTTCGTCTTCCTCCCTCCCCTCCTCTCACCCTCTTCCCCTACGTCCCCTGCGCACTCCTACACTGTGTGCCTCCTTGTTTCTTGAAATGTCTCTTTTATTTTGCTCTTTAAATTATTTGTGTTTCATTCTCGCACAGCAGAGGTACTAACTGGGGCTTAGCCTCCTGTGTCTGGCGAATTCAGTCGGCACTATGACGCTATCGCCTCGCACTCCAGGCCCGGGGTCTCACTTGAATGCGTGGCTCTTAGTTGAAGGGTGCTGTCATCGGGGCTACTTTCCTTCTTGACCTTGAGGAAAGAGCATTCAAAATGACTAACTTCATACCCGAGGCTGAGGACGGCAGAAAAGTGTTCTATGCATTTGGCAGGGAGATGCCGACCCTGGAATACTCCTTCATTTCAGTTACTTCATAGATTTGCTGAAAAGGCTTTAGCTTGACTTGGCTTAGATGTTTCTTTTCTTTGCTTTTGGTACTGGGAATCAAACTCGGAACCTTACACTTGCGAGGCAAATGGCACAACCGCTGAGCTAAACCCTGGCCCTTTGGCTTAGTTTCTTCAATCTTCATATCTTTTAAAAGTCACACTGTGTGTAGAGTAGTTTTAAAAAAAAAACAAGGCAGAAAGCAACACACTCTCTCTACTGAACATTACCTTAGTTTGTTGTCTATCTTAGCCCTTGAATTTCATATAATGTCAAGCTACAACGTTGTGTGAACCTCACTCCTGTGTCGTATTTCATTCAGTAGGCAATATAACAAAAAAGTGATGTACATGTTTCGCCACTTTGCTAAAATTCTTTATCCTCAATGAATTCTGTTTATTTAGCAGAAATAAGAAATAGATGCATTCTATTGCACCAAGATTTTCATTTATGCACTGTTTTTTGTACAATAAAATGTTGGTAACAATGAAGAATTAAAATATTGAAATGCATGAAATAAAATGAGTGAATGTAAGAAAAAAGAGACCTACACATGTATTGTTTAAAAACACGAACAGGAAAGTATGATTTAAAAGCATAATAATAATACCAGTGATTCAGAAAATTGGCTATTGTAATGAAGCCAAATTCTAAGGTTTACCTGTGAATTATAAAGCACTGTGTGATTAAAATCTCTAAGAGCATATAAAACTCTAATAGTGCTTAAGTAACATAAATGTTGGTATTAGAGTAGTTATAATATGAAACATGATCATAACAGTGATCCATATGTTGTGTGAACTGTCCAATAAACACAGGAAACTTGGTAAGGAAACCAACAAAAGAAATTATATTTTAGAAACAAGCTGCTAGGAGCCAGGTGCGGTGGCACACGCCTATAATCCCAGCACTTAGGAGGCTGAGGCAGGAGGATCACTGAGAGTTTAACACCAGTCTGGGGCACAGTGGGCTCCTGGGCAGTCTGAACTACACAGTGAGACCCTACCTCAAAAGAAGAAAGAAAGAAAGAAAGAATCTCCTAGGGAGCACCACGGTAAAGGGGAACTTCATCTGTAATTTTACAGGGAACAACACGAGTCATGTTTTGTATAAAAGTCCACATGGACCAGTACGAATACTGAACGCAGAAACCACGGAATGGCCTCCGCGGATGTTAACGTCGGCATAGTCTTCATTGTCCAGCTCGTCCTGGGAACCCTGGGCAATTTCTCTCTCTTAAGTCAGGACCTATTCCTGTACTTCAGTGGCTGCACGACAAGGCCCACAGACTCCATCCGCAGGCACCTGACCGTGGCCAACCTCTTGGTGATCCTCTCCAGAGGGATCGCAGAGACCATGGCAGAGTTTGGGTTGGAGCACTTCCTCGGGGATGCTGGATGCAAGCTCGTGTTCTCTGTTCACGCCCTGGGCCGAGGTGTAGCCTTTGGCAGCACCTGCCTCCTGAGTGTCTTCCAGGCCATCACCATCAGCCCCATGGACTGGAAGTGGGCACAGTTTAAAGGGAAAGCTCCCAAGTACAGGAGCACATTCACTACTCTGTGCTGGGTCCTGAACTTGCTGTTCACCTTCAGTTTTGTGACTATAACTAGCAAATTAGAAACCGTAAACATCACAAATAAAATAGACCTCACATACTGTTCCGATCCTCGTTCCATTAGAGGATCATATTCTGCAAGTGTATCCTTGGTCTGCATCAGTGATATCCTGTGCATGGGGCTCATGCTCCTAGCCAGTGGCTCCATGGTTTGCATCCTGTACAGGCACAAGCAGCAGGTCCGACACATCCGTAGTCCTCATGTCTCCTCTAGATCATCCCCTGAGACCAGAGCCACTCGCAGGGTATTAGTCCTTATGAACATCTTTGCATGTCTGTACATCACCTCTGCCACCATGCGAGTGTATCTGACTTTTTCTGAAAATCACAGCTTCTTCCTGCGCAGTCTAGGAACCTTCATAAATGGACTTTTCCCAACCATCTGCCCCTTCCTGCTCTTGAGCCATGGTCACAGCGTATCCTCGATCAGCTGTGTCTGCTCTGCAAGGAGCACAGAGCCACCTGATCACAGCAGGAGAAACGCGTGCACTGCCTGCTTTTCAGTATTGACCAAGGGATGGACTCCAGCCCCAAGGAATTCTCTGAAAATGCAGAGGACATAAGTTCACATTTCTACTTTGTTATTTGATGCCTCCTCATTCAGACAAAGAAAACAACCCTCTCTGCACATCCTGCCTCTCTCTGCTCCTCAGAGACTGTCTTCTAGAGGGAGCCCATGACACTGTCCTCTGGAGTGATCCCAGAATTCCGTGCATCACCAACTCCTTAGGAACTTTGCCCCGTTTGGAGCCTAAGCTGAGGCTGCCCATAAAATGCTGCTGGGTGGGCACCATCTTGCCCATGAATGAATAACAAAAGCCCTTTGTAATTACTAAAAGGTGGCAACCTGAGCTTGTATGAATTAAACATGCTGCTGAATTGTCTGAGAGCCTTGAAGACAGATTCCAGGAAGTGTCTTTGGACTTTGCACAGTGTGTCCCTGTGTGCCCCGGCTATCTGTGCTTCCTGTGCTCTCTGAGGTCTTCAGGAGATGTGGTTCCCAAGCTGGTCTGAGCTCTAGGACAGGTCTCTCCCTTCCCTGGGTGTCCAAGGAGCCTCCTTCTTTTCTGCAGTGGCTGTTCTCTGAGAATCCCTGCATTTTCTAGAAGCCTGCACTGAGAAGGGAGGAGCCCAGGCTTCTCAGGAACCCAGCTGCACAGGTCTCCGAAATTTAAGGAGGAGAGCAGGCTGGGGATGGCTCAGGGCAGATGCCCAAGGATTTGGAGAAGCCAGAAACAAGACGGGCCAGTACTGAGAGTTCCACAGCTTCGTCTTCAACAGATTAATCCATAGAGCTGATTCTCCCCTTACTTCACCTTTCAACTGTTACTTTGATATATCAACTTATTATTTTTAAAACATTTTGCAAAATTTCTAAGGTGTTTCTTGTTTTATTTGCAGGTCTTCACCATGACAAAAAGTCAATGTATCACAGCGTTTGCACTGTGTCAAGTATTATATGTATTTTAGAAAGTATTTTGTGTGAGCTACATTACGTTTTGTACATATCTATAAATGTATACATGTATGTCAATGTATCTATTCATAATCTTTAGTAATATTTCTAGGGCTTTACTTTTGTCTATTGGCATTGAAATTTTGTATAACAAAAATTGTAGTAAAAAGTGGAATAGCACAGCACTTAATAAAAATCTCAGATTCTTTTAATGATTGTTGAATATGATATGCAGTTTAGATGTTTCTTACACTTAAAACTTATTATAATCATTGTTTCATTTGTACATAGTGCTGTTTAAAATTATGTCACATGTAACATGATGTGAACAATCTGATTTACTGAGCTTTTTTTGCTTTGTTTTTTATTGAGTTTATTGGTACAGTTTAGGTATACAGTGCTGATTTATTGAGCTTTAAGAACACTTTGAAAATGTCTTGTTGTCTGTTCGTGACTTTGTTTACATGTGAGCATATTTTTCATGTGTTCTCTGTGAACATCTCCTCCTCACTGTCCCCATGCTTGTCCACATGTGTTTAGTTTACACATTTGGATACAACATCTGTGGCTAAATTTTATGTCCTCGTCCAAACACACAGGTCGTGCAGATCCTGCATTTCTCAGGAGAGAATCACCATTGATTGTTTTCCTGGTAAATCCATCTGGAAAAAAACGGAAAGAGCACATGTCTTATTTTTTATATCAAGTATCTTACGAAACACGTCTTTCTTTTACTTTTACTTCTGTGGGCATTTCTCATACACCAATTTTCTTTCTTAACATTACACTGACTCTTTGGCCCTCAGCATTTCTCTATGGGTCACCATGAGATGTGGGATTTTCTTTGGTTATGTTTTCACTAAGGCACTCTGTGGCTCTCTCCCAAATCCAGCTTTCCCTGCGCATGATCCTGTGTTGCTAATGTTCATTTTATATCTTTGTGCAGGATTTTATTTGTTCCAAATTAAGTAAAATGTTAAAATGTATTTTGTTTTCTCTAAAATACTGAAGGAGTTCCATGCTTTCTTAGGAGTGAAAATTCAGTTACCTCCCCAAACATCTCATCGCTATTTACTTATCATGTCCCAGGCAGAGGAGAAGCCTTAATAATGGTTTAATTTTCATAATCACTGTACTTCTGACAAGAAGCGATGTTTGGGCTGCTGTTCTATCCTTGTGTTTACCAGACTCCATAAACCTTACTTCTACCTCATGAGACAAAGCTGGCAACTTATTAAGGCTTCTCAAACTGTACTTACTATTCTTCAACATAGGTTGGTCCATGGACCAAAGTTTAGAAAGCAATGGGAATAGGTAATTAAAATGAAAAATAAGCCCTTTGTAGTGTTTGGTGAGATATACAGACTGTGTGTTTTATTTTGAAGGAATACAGTCGGTGAAATAGGCTAATAAGGTATACCTAGAGTCCCTAATATATATGAGCATCACCAAAGTCCCTGGGATAAATTCTGCTGGAAAGTAGAGGAAGGTGATAGTGTGATTCAACCGCACTGCTGTGCGAGTTAAGCCAGTTATTAATCCATCCCCGATAGTGACCGTGGCCGATACATTCCACACGCCCTACAAACAAGTGTGCTTCAGGCTTCAGAAATTTCTAAACAAGAGGAAAATAGTTGCTGTAAAATGACAATGATGGCTGTACAATGACAATTTTCAATTTTTGTTCATCCCTGTATCCAATGGAAATAAATATTACCCGCTACTCCTTAGACACAAGACTAATGTTTAGAATATATAAAGAACTCAGAGTCATCCCACCAAAAATAAAAGATACAACCAACACTGGGCCATTGAAATGAATACACATTTTCAGAAGAAGAAACACAAATGTTGAAAACAACCCCATGTGATCATTACTAAATGCATGAAAAAATGTCCACAATCCCCAGCCATCAGAAAAATGGAAATACAAGCAACACCAAGATTTGCCTGTCATCTAGTAAGAATGCTCATTATCATGACTTAGAAATCTGAAAATGTTGGTGAGGTTGTGGGGAAAATAAAGCATTCTACATAGTTGGTTGGAATGTAAATGAGCTCAACCATTGTGGAAATCACCAGGCAGATTTCTGAGATAGAAAATTCATTTCACCCAGCTATTTCTCCCCTGGGTATCTTTCTGAAAGTATTAAATTCATCACACTACAGCAATACACTCACACACGTTTATAGCCACACAATTCACAATCGCTAAATTATGCGTGTGGCCTGTACGTCCATCAACAGATGAATGGATGAAGAAAATGCCATCAAGCAAGATTCACTTGCGTTATTGGTAGGGAAACACACGAGTCTTGTGATCTTAATACGAGTGAAATAAGTCATTTATAGGATGGTAAATTTTGCATCATTTCTCTAATGAGAGACCCAAACTATGAATAATTTGAAGAAAAAAATACACACAAGATGCTAGGAAATGGGGATTTGAACCATGTGGAGATGGGAAGAGGTCTGGGGTAGAGGAAGAGGGGAGGGAGAGAATGGAGTAAAAGAGGTTAGGCTGCAATACGTGTAGGGACCACTGCTACGTGATGAACATGACGATTGCATATTACAAACAAATACCGATGAAAAGTAAGATCACATTTAGAACCTCAAATGAAAATAAAAGTAGGACCACCACATGTTCCAGCAATTTGGATATATATAGACATATAGACAGATGGAGATAGATACATAGACATGCTCTTGTCTTCGACAACTGTATTCTCATACTTACCGCAGCACGATTCTGAATAACTAGCATATATGACAGCTCTCCGCGCTCGTACCTGAATGAATAAAGATATCGTGGAATACATTCAGTATGAAATGCTTTTCTACCATAACAACTCATGTACTCCTGACATTTTCCCCAACAAGAACGGGCAGGGAGGACATTTTACATAAAACGCGCAAGCAGAGAGAAGCAAAGGCCACATGTTCTCATTCGTAAGTGGAATGTAACAACTTGACCTCAGGAGCTGAGAGGAGAACAGAGATTAGCAAAAAGTGGAGGGAAAGCGGAAAGTCGTAAATGGGCCTAATGTTATTTTATGATGGTAGGACGCACTTCTGCTCTCCACAATCCAAGCTAAATACAGTTCACAGTCGCACATTGTATATCTCCAAATTGTTAGAAAAGTGAAATGAAGGAAATCATAGAATTGAAAGGTAATAGACATGCTAATGGGCTTGAGTTAGTTATCAAATATCACACTGTACCTCATATATAGTTATCGGTAGATATAGATATATACACATAAAAGATGCTGGGTTAATAAAAAATAAGTAACAAAGTATCAAAGGATCAGCTTGAGCTGCTTGTTTATCATTCCCTTCTCAACCCTCATGTCAATGCAATTTATTTCATATTGCACGTGGTTATTTTTTAATCCATAAGAGGGAAAAAGAAAAAACAAATGAGGCATCCCAACAACTCAGTTCTGAAGGCAATTATGGGACACTTATTACCCACTTATTATGATATCCGAAAGTCTAAGTCACAACGTATTCGTAATTTTTGGCAAACTGCACCATTCATGTTTGTGGTCATATAGCATATGTTTAATAAACATTGCATTGATAAATATATTTAAATTATTTCCCAAAAGCAGACTTACACCATTATAGGTTACCTCCTTTTTTACCAAAAAAAACGTATTAAAAGTAAATCTTTTTTTTTTCCTCATTGAGTCTATTGGTACGTCTTAGGTATACAGTACAGTTACATTCATCATTGGGATCTTGTACCTCTACATGGCAGGTCTTGGTTCTCATTTTTCCCCTTGTCCCTGCCCTCCCTTCACCCCTCCTCCTCTCCCCATTTACAAACACTTTATTTCCATTTTTTCATTTTTCTTGTATGTTTTTCTTTTCCCTTATTAGCTTTCCCCTACCCTTCCCACTTTCCCTACACCTTTAGCCCCTTTCTTCCTATTTCACATGGTCAATTATCTCATTAGGATCTTATGTGCTATTACAGTTTATTCACACCAGAGAAGCTATTCAGTATTTACACATGTGTGACTTATTTATTTTACTTAGGAGTATATCCTCAATATGTATCCATTTTCCTATGAATGAATCTAATTTCTCATTCTTTATGGCTGAATAATATTCTATTTTATAGAAAAACCACATCTTCTTTATCCAATTTCCAACTGATGGGCAAATGGGCTGTTTCCAAGTTTCAGCTATTGCAAACTGTGTCGCAATAAACATAGGAGTGCATATATCTCTGTGATATTATTCTTTTAATTCTTTTGGAAAGATACCCAGCAGAGGGATGCATGGGTCAAATGAAACCGCTAGTCCCAGCTCTTAAAAGTAAATCTTAAAGGGTCAGCAAACAATGTGCTCTTTCTTTCAGGACTGTGGTCTGTGGCCTTCCCTGGAATTAATAGTAGGATGAATCTGACTGATTTGCAAAGATACACAGATGTCTGGGCCCTATGTGCTGTGCCTGCTTTCTCCAGCTTAAGTCTCACTGAGAAGGAGCTCAGGGTGAGCAACATCGCCACTAACTGACAGGGTCCTTGATAAACTGGGCCTTACAAGGGCTCAAGTCCAAACAAGCTACACTTTCTTGGAGTGGCACAGAGATAGATGTGATCTCCAAGCATCTGGAAGCTTAGAGGCAGTGATTTGCTCATGGATTCTCAGCGCAGGCGGTAAGTGAGATCCCATGGCCAGTTACCTTGAGTACTTGTGATGGTTCCTTCCCATACAAATTCAGATAGAAATGTGAGTCGAAGCCTCTATGTTGTTTTAATTAACAGCCCAGGCAAGGTGATTTAGTGAGGTCAGGGTCAGCCGTGAAGTCTTCTGCCCGTGTCCATTACAACTGAGTTTGGCCCAAAACCTCAAAGGAGCACAGAGGCCCAGCTCGGCCTGGGCTGGGAAGGGGCGGCTTGGTGCATCCCATGAGCACACTGCTCTGCAGAAATTCTTGATTTTGCTGGCAGGTGAGGATACCTCAGGCAGGAACTGGGACTTCAAGTTTGGCCTCCACATAGCAGGTCATTGTCCTGGTGAAGGACATTGGACATTGTATTTAAAGCCAGAATAACAAGACAAAGATGTAATTTTTCAAGGATATCTTGCCTGACAGAGAAAGAAAAATTGATAGTTTTAAGGGAAATAAGTCCCAGGTCAGGAGCTATATCCATTGTGTGAGAAAAACAAGGTTCTATTAAAAAGATGTTTGTAGTAGCAAACTAAAGGGCACAAGTTTTCATATAATTGTGATAGTTACTATCATTAATTTCTTGGTGTACTAAATGTATTCATACTTTCTGACTGTGTGATAATAACCTCTTTTAGTTTTAGGTATTTGCCTTTCTCTCAGCTACTTATGATAACAAGTAGTTTTATAGGTTGATACATTTTCTTTAGAAGGCATCCCATCAAAGATAACAATTTGGGTAAAAATTTTTGGGCTTTTCTGGAGAGATGACTGTGTTTAACAATGGCTATTTTATAAAAAGATGGACATTTCCTGCTTCCAATGTATTGGAATAATATCGCCTAATTTTTTTATATATTTGAAGCATTTTTTCAGGTTTCACATTAGCCATATTTTAGCAATTTAAAGTGCTAACTCATTAATTTTTAATGTATTAATGTTAGTGTTAGCTTCCTTTGAGTTATTGTAAATTTACAATAAAAAATACAAATAGACATTTCATGAAATTTGCAGATTTATCATTAAATTTATAATGAAATATTTCATGAATGTTAATAAAATTTAATATTATCTACATGCAGATTGAAAAGTACATCAGTTCTATATTTTATATTTAGTCTTCAGGTTTTGTCATATTATTTAACACTCAATTTTATAATAATAACTTGAAATGTACACATTAAAATTTTTAAATTGGATTTACAATATGTTTTGCTATATGCAGATTACTGATCTTCAGCATCAGATTCCTTAGTTAAAATTTACTTCTTCTTGATGTGTGTATTTGGGAAAAAATAAAACCATTTGCTGTATCCTCTCTTTTGGTATGATGTGTTTCCATAGTCATTTGTGGTGAGCATTTTTTAAATTTTCAATTTTCGTTTCTTCATTGACCTATAAGTCATTCAGTCTCACTCTTTCAACTCTTGACAATATCAGCATAGGAAAAGACTTTATGAACAAATCCTCAATAGCACGGGAACTAGCACAAAGAATCAACAACTGGGATCTCATCTTTTTTTAAAAACTTCTGCACTGCAAGATAAATCACCAGCTGAGCTAAGAGACAAACCACAATGTGGGAAAATATTTTGACCAGCTTTTCCTCAGACGAAGATCTACTACATAGAATAGATAAAGAACTTCAAAAAATCAGTCTCACTCTTTTAACTCCCCTTGCAAGGCATTAAGTCCACTCAAAGAGTAAAGACCTCCTAACTTGTACTCCAAACCATCTCTCACATTAATACCACCATGATGGGGATTACCTTTAACACAGGGATGACGCAGGGGCCACAAACATCATTATATAGCAAAATGTAATAAGTACTAAAAATTACAGCAGTGGTAAAGCCATTATTGTGATTTGGAAATTTGATTTTCCAATCACAATGGTTTTTCACTGGCATCAGGGGCTTTATTTTCTTTCAGTTCTTATTGCTAGTGACAACACACAGCTCAACGTTCTGACGATATAGTTGAAGATTCCGTCTCAGCCACTTCAGGCTCTGTAATTTACTGACACACAGTATGTTTATAATCTCCTCGCAAAGAGTCTGGAATGTTCTAAGTAACATCTGTTTCTTCTCATATCAAGACTGAATCATCCACTGAATAGGGTTGGGGGCACCTGTGACTCATGGTGAGTCTATCTCTACCAACCCAACTATCTCATGCCTTATGTATTTCCTTGCGCCACTAGCAGAAGTTACAGAATACTCCTTGGTTGCCAGCGGATTTAGAGAGTGCATTGTTGGCATCTTGTGGACACAAGTTGGGCAATATGGATGGGCATGCTCTGGGATAACTATGCAGAATCCCTGAGCTCTCAGCCCTGGAGCTGTGGCCAGGATGCTGACGAGTGTATCTGCTGGGCTCAGGCCTACACAGTGCCTTCAACAACAGTGCTGCCCAAGGTCCGCAAAGAAGACGTGAGCTCTTCTAGAGTGTGCTCTGCAGGTTTCCCAGTGATATTTGTAGTAAAGATATCTACTGCCATCTCTGAAGGCACTTGTGTGCATTTACATCTTCACGTGAATTCTGAGTGCTTGTGTGTGTGTGTGTGTGTGTGTGTGCGTGTGTGCATTCGTGATTGTGTCTAGTGTGTAGTGGTTGTTCACCTTAAGGCTCTAATCCATGACTTTCAAAGTGCAGATGTTTGGGGTGGGATTGAAGTGAGAGAATTTAGTATTGCCCCAGGATGAAATTATGGATTTATTTCTGGGAACATGCAGAGGATTGGCTTCTATGGCTGCATCTTGTATTTCTTCATTAATTCAAATGACTGAAAACTCAAGAAGCATAGAAGATAGGGTCAAATACTCCATGAGACTAAAGGGAGAAAGTGACACTGACCTGTGAATAATTTTGAAGGAAGGAGCAATGGGCTCTTGCTGCTCAACACCCGATTTTGTTCAAACTCAGATCTACCCTTATACACACTGCTTCTCTGACGGTTATGGTTCTCTTTAACCCCACCCCCCGCTAGAGGAGCCCACATTGAAAGAATACCTGTCCCTAAAAAAGTTTTTATGCCACCTGCATAGGCAAATAAATTTCATTGAGTTTTGCCAACGATTCCCATCATTTCTCATGCAAATGAAG